CGACCACTGCCGCTCGACCTGACCGGAAAAAACCGTAGCAGGAAGCTAGCGAAGTCGTAGTATATATCGTCACAAATAGAACTGCCCGGTAAACCGTAGGCAGAGAGAGAGAAGAGGTATATATATATATATACAGGGTTGCCGACGTTCGGCCTTCCCGAACGTTCGGCACCCTCTCTCGACGCATTCGGCCATTCAGCCGAACGTAGACCACCCCCCCCTGCCCCCCTTCAAAAAAAACAAAACAAAAACAAAAAAATCCAAAAAATCTGGAAAAAAAAATGTTATGCAGAAGAGTAAACTGAATAACATTTGCCTCAACGTCACATCCAAATTCTCTACCAAATTTGAAATAAAAATCAAATACTAAAAATAAATAATTATTATGAAAATTTAAAAAAATAAAACCAGAATGAAATTATTGAGTGGGCGAGCACGTTTTTGACACCGCCTTTTTCGGCGATTTTTCATTTTGTTTTGGATGTGACAAATGCCATGAAAATTTATATATGTGTATCTTACATAATAGAGAATCTACAAAATTAGTACAAATAAATTTTGAAAAAATAATATTTTTTTCATGCCCCGAAATAAAGGAAAAACAAAAAGTGAAAAGGGAGAAAAAACAAATTAGTGAGTGGGCAAACAAGTTTTGACACCACCATCTTTCCCGATTTTGCATTTGTTTTTGGCTGAACAGAATGGCTTCAAACTTAAGAGGGAAATACCTTAAACCACAAAGAACTCACAAAAAAATAATAATATTTAGGTGCCAAAATATTTTTTTGCGGGGTCCGAACCCCTTCAGGTTTGGGCCCCGTACGGGGACCCGAACGCCCGAACGTTTGGGGGTCAGCTTAGGGGCTTCCGTACGTTCAGCCTAGCAACCCTGTATATATATATCGTCACAAACAGAACTGCCCGGTAAACCGTAGGCAGAGAGAGAGAAGAGGACAACAAACAAGGGGCTGTGGCAAACTGTTTCGTCGGAGTTTCACCGACTATATATCGTCACAAACAGAACTGCCCGGTGAACCGTAGGCAGAGAGAGAGAAGAGGACAACAAACGAGGGGCTGTGATCATACTTGCGGCGCATGGAGGTGCGATGCACCCCGCACGTGCGCCGCACCGCGCACCGGGCACGACGCGCGTGCACGGGGGGCGGCGCACCCCGAAAATAAGGGGTGGACGGAAAAAAAAAAAAGGTTGCCGAGGGG